TGAAAAGACCAACAGCCAGCCGAAAAGGAAATGGCAAAAGATGAAGCCCAGTGACATTCAGGCAAACCACTCTATCAAACAAAAGGGAGCAAGTAACTCTCTGTGGGTATGTCTACATTGCATTCCTCTTCTGAGAGAGGAATGCAAATGCAGATGAGTGAAATTGCAAATGAAGCACGAATTTGAATTTCCCGTGCTTCATTCGCGTAATTGCGGACCACCACTATTTCGACATAAAGAATGCTGTGTAGATGCAGTTATTTTGAAAGAAACCCTTTCTTTCGAAATAACCACTAGGAGTAAGGGTTATTTCGAAAGAAGGGGTTTCTTTCAAAAAAACCGCATCTGCACTGCGTTCTTTATGTCAAAATAGGGTATTTAGAAATAGTGGTGGTCCGCGATTATGCGAATGAAGCACGAGAAATTCAAATCCGCGCTTCATTTGCAATTTCGCTCGTCTGCATTTGCATTCTTCTCTCAGAAGAGGAATGCAATGTAGACATATCCTATTAAAACACAAACCACGGAAGACAAGGAGTTAACACATCCCAAAAAGGAAATCAAAACAAAGTGGAGAGGCCCAGTAGAGCCAGGATTAAGCTTGATTCAATAACCAGGTCCTACCCAAGCCCTAGAGGCAACCAATAAAGTATCACGTGTGGGAGAGAGTTCTCTAACCCAGATCCCTGGCCCAAGAAAGACGACTGAAAGCTGACTCATGCTTACTGTCCAGAAGTATACAGCAGGCCAAGAAATGATTATTCAGGCATCTAGGTCTTAGATGATGTATGTATTATACTAACTCTCACCGCTTGACATCTGCTTTCAATTTCTATTTCAGTTATGACTAGACAATTTATGACTAGACTATGTCTCCCTTGTATGCAGCTGTGCAGTGGTGGGGAGGGAGTCGGGAGCCTCGCCACCCTTGCATAACCTACATAAAGATCACCCTGAATGGTGTCGCTGGGCTTGGGATAGTGTAGGGGCTGCTCCTGAGTTGCTCACCCCAGCAGCAAGTCACTGGACAAGAGGAGGGGACTAGCTGTAGCAAGTTGGGATGCCCTGTGCATGGGAGATGGGAGGAAAAATATTCTATATCCTTAAAGGGGTATCACAAGTTGCCTCCCAGCAGTCCCTTGTTACAGAGGGTAGGGTAGCCTATTTGCCTCTAACTACATGCCTCAATACAGTCCAATAGAAAAACAGAAATAAGCACTGAAATGAACTTGTCAGCCTATTGAGATAACACTTTTGTGACTGAAAATGATACTGAGTTTGTGACTGAGTGAAGGATAATTTTATTGGAGAGGCCAAAACCCTCAAACCTCTCTTAAAACGACATGGACTGTAACATGGAAATGACAACTGAACTAGTGCTGTTTCGAGAACATCCAAACTGTTTGTTTGTTAGAAATGTCCCTCCCCCGGCTCACAGCTGTTTAAACAGAGCTCCACAAGGCTGCTTTTCTCAGCAGCGTGTGGGGAGCAGCCAGGGAGTCTGCCTGAGGCTTCCTGCTGCATCCGTGGGCCGGATCTGGCAGCTTCACAGGCCGGATCCGGCCCACAGAGGATATTTTGCTCAGACCTGGGCTAGAACTTGCGCTCTGAGACTAGCCTGAGTCAGTGTAAACTCAAAACCTTGTCTCTCACCAACTGAAGTTGTCTCTCTAATAGCCTGGGACTGACATGGCTACAATAGGACTTGTCTTTCCTACTTGTCTTTCATAGCAGAGAGAGTTTTGTGGTAAGTAATCTTATGCTTTATTTTGCTTAATAAGTATTTTGGGCCTTCATTTTGATCTGCTTCCAGAAATGGCTGTATCAATCCATGTGACTCTTTCAGCTAAAGCCTTTTAAAATTATATATATATTAAGGGAAAAAAGTGATATACTGTAGAAAAGCTACAGAGGTGACACTACCACTATGCTAACTACATACAGTATAATTCCTTGTGTCCGAATTCCCTTCATCTGAAAATCCTATTTATTTGATTTCACAGTGTGTCCTCCTCCATATACCCTATGTTAGTAATCACCCATCAGTAACTTCTCAGGTATACTCTTAGGTCATGTCTACATTACACAGAAATTCAACACTTCACTATACCTGCTAAATTGAACCCAGAGAGGGCCCTGTCAGCACTGATACTCCTACTCCTCATCAGAAGTAAGGGAAGCCGATGGAAGCAGTTGTTCCCGTCAGCCTTCTGTGGTGCGGACAGTGCATAAACTCAGTTTAAGATACATTGACTCAGCTACGTAATTAACATAGCTGGAGTTGCATATCTTAATTCAACCTTCTGCTGTAGTGTAGACCTGGCCTTAGTGACTAATGAAGATGGCTTGCATCAGAAACCTGAAGAAACAAAGAAATGCTCACAAATTACAAACTGTGATTAATCAGATTTTTTAAAAGAGATAAAAAATTCAGAATTAAATTATATCCAGAATGGTTTCGATATAATTTTGGTGTTTTAATAAAGTTAATAAAATTATTTTTTATTAATTAATAAAGTACGAACTATTAAGCAAACATCAGCATTACTCCTTTTCTTCCCTGTACTTCCTATATCAGCAAAACTGACAGTCAAAGTAGCCGAACACATGGTTATCTGAAAGTTTCAGATATTCTCAGGCCATTTAGATAAAGAGGAGTGTACCATATATTTTTACCTATGTGTTAATCTTATCAACAGAAGGATGTTGTGACAGTCTGTACCCCATGTTCTCAGAGCAGAAAGGCCTAATTGCTAGATCCAACATAATTATCCCAGTGTGCAGGGCAGTGGGGCCTACCTATCAGGCAGTCAATAGGGTTACCCCAGTACGTAGGCGTAATGTGCCCTGGTATCCCTTTGGTGAGGGAACTTGTCAAAGGCTTTCTGGAACTCTAAGTACACTATATCCACTGGATCCCCCTTGTCCACATGTTTGTTGACCCCTCAAAGAACTCTAGATTAGTAGGGCATGACTTCCCTTTACAGAAACCATGTTAACTTTCTCCCAACAAATTATATTCATAATTTAGTTTTGATAAACTCAGTGCTCCTGCCCCAGCACCAAGCCCCCTTTCGCATCCAAACTCCTCCCAGAGCCCGTACCTCCTCCTGCAGCCCAACTCCTGCCCCAGGCTCAGCCTGGTGCCTCCTCCCACACTCCAAATGCTTTGGCCCCAGCCCAGAGTTCATGCCTCCTTCTCCACAACCCAATCACTTTCCCCATCCTGGTGAAAGTCAGTGAGGGTAGGGAGAATAAATGACGGAGACAGCACGGAAGAAGTGAGTGGGGCAGGGCTTCTGGGCAGGGGCATGACGTTGGGGCAGGGCAGGGCAGGGCAAGGCAAGGCTGTTTGGGTTTGTGTGATTATTAGACAGTTGGCAACCTTACTCTGACCCTAGATTAACATTAGGTCTAAACAAACTAGTTAAAATACGAACTAACCCAAATGTTCAAATCGCTAGGCCAAACTATAAAACAATCTTTTTTGAGTGATTCAGGAATGTCTTATTAGCTTTAAACAAAACAATGTTATGTTTCTCCACTTTCTGCTTTGGCTAAGCATCAAAGCAGAGATACAAAAATATGGCACAAAAGCCTCTTTTTGCACTAAATCTGGCAAAGCTGAAACCAGCCAGTACTGGAAATTTTACACACACACACACACACACACACACACACACACACACACACACACTTTTTCTCACAAGATTTTCAACTCCAAAGCTACTGTTACTCCTAGCTAGCATTCTTGTGCCTCTCTCACCGCAGATAAGCAATATTTGATTACGCCCAGGGTAGTTGCTGTAAGAAATTATTGTTCCAGAGTGTTAGCTACACAAAAGCCGTTCTACATCAGTCAGGCAATGGAAATGGGCCTTAAAGTAGGCATAAATGTAATTTACTCCCACTATAAAGCACTTAAGATTGCCATAGTGGTGTAAAAAAGTCAATAAGCAATGTTAAAGGCCTTATATGCCTCTGCTGAAAACAACAGAATAAGTTAGGCAAACTTTTTGGTTAATGATACATTAATTTAAAACAATGAGAAAACAAACTCAAGGCTCTTTGTTCTTTTTTTTGACAAGTCCCTTTATTGAATATAGAAAGCAGAACTCAAACATGCAAAAACAGCATTGTTTTATGCTGCATATGTTTTGTCATTGAGAATTAACTTGGCTGTCACAGCAACATTTTTAAAAGCACTTTGTGTTACAGACTTCTGCAAATGAATATTAAAATACCATCTACTGTAATATTATTTTTAGAACCAATATAATCATAAGCATGGTATTACATCCACACACAGAGAGATTACATTTTTATCTGTTAAACCACAACACAGTCTTTCCTGATGATGTGGAATCACATTTCCATGTCTGCTAGACAGATTTATTATATTTTCCAGATTTCAACAAGAACCATATATTAAGAAATGCATGTTGCCCTAATGAAAACAATATGCAGTTAGTATTTAAGTTGTCACAAAATTATAGAGAAATCACATAGACTAACTGCATACTAAATTGATAGGATCACTAGCACATCTCAATAAAGTTTAAATGTTTGGGAAAATATCACTAATTAGTTATACTTCAGCTAATTCACATGTATACTTGCAGGAAGGACTCCACTAAAGAAAATTCCTTCATAACTCCAGCTCTGAAAGGAAAATACACACGTACACTGTGCTGCAGTGTCTACATGATAAAAGCAGTAGAGAAATGAACATATAGAAACAAATAATGTACCTAGCTCCACACACTTCCAAAGATGGTTTTGGTCTTTGGTTTTTGTTAGCTAAGAAGGAACTACTGATCAGTAAATTATATATTGTAGGTAATCTTCCCCCCTCACTATCACTCTAGATAATTTTCTCTTTAGAAGACTATCCTAGAAAAGGAAGTCTTGTGGGATATTTTCAAAAAATTATCTTTAAGGGCCAAAATTTGATCCCCTTACTGATGCCTCTAAAAGTTTTTCT